AGTGTTTGCCAAAGCAACCTTTTTTCCGAGTCAAGTAGTTTAGAGCACATACATACCTTCCTTGATAAGGTAGGTCTGCATTAAAATTAGTAAGAAACCGCTCAGACATAAAAGAGGGTAGTAAGGGAAGGGGGGGGAACGGTCCTTTCTCGATTCACGAAAAATGAAATCGGCTTAACAACGGATGCTGAAAATATTTGAGATATACCACAGGGCGCCCAGACAAGTGACGAGTCTGGTTGTTTATTCGAAATATAAAGGAAGGTATGGGAGAATATTGAAGAGTCTTATTATCGTGAACTTATATCATGAAATATCTTAGTTAAAGCTCAAAAAATAAATGTAAACCTACCTCATTTGCTGTGTATTGTCGTTTCTGTGGCTCTAAATGGCGAATTTGAGCGATTTGGTGGGTTTTGTGTCGACTGTTACCATACTTTATAAGAAGGGGACGTATAGTAACAGTCGACGCAAAACCCACCAAATCGCTCAAATTCGCCATTTAGAGCCAGGGAAACGACAATACACAGCAATTTAGGTAGGTTTACATTTATTTTGAGCTTTAACTCAGACATTTCATGATATAAGTTTACGATATAAGATTCTTCAATATTCTCCCATACAATCCTTTATATTTCGAATTAACAACCAGACTCGTCGCTTGTCTGCGCCCCTGTGGATATACTTCCCACCTTCGCGGGTGTTGTTCGGGAAAAAAAATTCGTGCGCGCGCTAGTTTCACAAAAATCCTAGCAAACTATATGTCAGAAGAAAGCTTATTAATTGCAGATTACGATAAAAATATAATTTAAGCGACTTTTCTTTTAAAGAAGTGTCAAGAGCCGGTAAGGCGTGAAATGATCGAATGTTCTTCTATTGAATTCATCGGATATCGGATACTACAGCACGAGCAAAAATAGCTGCACAGTCTCATTCAAAAGCCATCAATCAACAAAAGTGCATCAGGCTAGGCTTTTTCGATATTCTGATTGGCTGCGTAGATATCGGCATCTAAATTTGCAGTAGCTAAAAACTGATATGCGAGTCGTGTTGCGTAAATGGACACCACTAGACAAATTATTTAAATATCAGAATTTCGCGACACTTTTTGGAACGACAACGAACAAATGCGATAGCGGCAGGGAAAAAAAAGAGGAGAAACTTACCAAATTGCCTCTGCTTTACGGCAAGGCGCAGTGAAGACTCTTCAACATAGCGAATACTCTTTCATATTCGATGACGTCATGCCCCCCAGCAGATCGCTGTTCCATTTGCGGTTTGTATTTTTGGTGGTTTAGGCGAGATAGCCTTCACGTCATGCCACGAGCAAGCTCCACGATTGGCCACAGCATCGAAATACTTCATGTTATGCTAAGCAATTTAATGTTCAGCTAGAGCGTCGATGTTCTGCAAAGCTATTCGACGTAACGCTACACCATTTGTGTGTACGCTGTACCATTCGACATTACGCTGAGCCATTTCACGCAAAGCTACACTGTTTGTATGTACGCTGTACCATTCGACGTTACGCTGAACCATTTCACGCAAAGTTACACTGTTTGTATGTACGCTGTACCATTCGACATTACGCTGAGCCATTTCACACAACGCTACACAGTTTGAACGTACGCTGTGTTACTCGATATTATCCTGAGTCATTTGACGCAACGCTACACCGTTTGTGTACTGTATGACCTGTATTGCATATGAGTGCTTGGCTATTCGGAATTTAGCCAGTCCATTTCACAATTTTATATTTCAACTCGACATGGGCAACTAGATCGTTTATCATTTGGCTAAACTATTTATGTTTAGGGTGTTCTGTTTCATGAAGGAAAACTAGACAGTCTATAATTTGGCCATGCCATTTCTTTATTAACTATGCTATCCTGCAGCTGATCCTTAAACCATCTACTGATCTATTTGACATCCTTGTATTTTTGGTGGTGACGGCCGCCCATACCTCAGCAACGGGCATAATAACTAGGTCACCATAATATACAGAGTTTAAGATTCTTGCTCACCAGAAAACATCCTGATTCCTAGAATTATCCACTTGTACTTCCAATCTTTCATGTTCTGTTTTGAACAGGTTTGGTGGGGTATGAATTAACATAATTCCTCTAAAGCCTTTTAGGAAACCTTCGGTGTTGGGAAATATTGTCGATAAGAATGCTTTGCTCTAGACGAGAAGTTTGACATTTTGGTAATGTGTAATGATTTTTTTCTTCTGACCATTAGCACACTGTCTACCAGCAACAATGAAAACTACGGTGCACACAAAACTATTTTTTTTCGTACTCAGTTCATTGCATAACTTGTCTTTGCTAAATGACAAAGAGCCAGACGAGAAGGACTCGGACCACGTTAGTGGTCTATTTCAGGCCAATCAGTGTTGAGGAAATTTCTGGGCAATTCAATTTCTAACGCTTATGAACCAAGGAAAGCTAAAACCTAAAGTAACTACAAATTCAGAGCTGCCTGAAGAAACTGAAAAGACGTGAGTATCATCTGGCCGAGACGAAAGAAGGATTCAAGGGAAATTGAGCGCGCACAATTTGACAAGGAAACCCCAATGTTCTTTAACAGCATGCACTAACACATTAATCAGAACAACTTCTAAGTTTATTCCAACCGAACATTACACAAAATTCTTAAACATTAGCATCCTTATCAGATTAGCAAATTAATTACTCGCAAGATTTACTTATAAGAGTACGGCTTTTCTTTTATTATTACTTTTCGTGCACGTTCTTTCGAGGAAAAACTCGGTTCAACTTTCCGGCCAAGGTAGCTTGTAGATCACTGATAGGAAACTAGACCACGTTAGTACTTGCGAGGGCAACTGCTGTAGATGCTAACGCGATATCGGCCAGAACAGCATTTGTGGGTCTTCGGGTAGTAGGGACGCGAACCACACAACCGAGGGCAGGTTGCTTTTCTGGGGATGACTCTACGTGATTTTCCGAGGATGCAGCATTTGTGGGTTACTGGGTTGTAGCGACGCAAACCACACAACCGAGGGCAGGGAAGACGTTTGCTGACGACGTATTTGCCAGAGCAGCATTTATGAGTCCATGGGTTGTAGGGCCTCCAGCCACATCTTGGTGGGCATCTGAATTTCTTTGAGACCACTCTGCCTATTGACCAAAACGCC